TTTTTTTTTTTGAGTAAAACATCAAGAGGTTTTACAATCCTCAGTTAGCCTATATAGTGATACTTATGTAGCATTTTATGTAGTTGCAGAAATCTTGTTATAAAAACACCTTCTAATATAACTGATACAAGAGTAATTTAATCACATCAATAGCTTTAGTTGCTGGGGCTTTATCCTTAGTTCACTCCAAATATTCCAAATTGTTCTATGATTTCCATATAGTTTGAGTGCTTGTATATGTTTCTGTGGTCAGTAAAACAATTGATGTGCAACTGGAGTCAGAGCAAGCCTGTTGGCTAAAAGTAGACATCCTAAATTTTTGTTTTAGGTTTATCTCAGTAGGTATGAACGGTTGTTTCCAACGTGATCATCTAAATAAAAGTACTAAAGCAAAAATACACAGATTCTGCCTTCTGTGCTGTTAAAATTTGGTTCAATATTTCTGTGACTGGAAATAAAAACACTTTTTCCAGAGGGTATGACTAAGCGTTATGCACTGTGTTGTGTCCCATATACAAATCTCAGTTGGTCCAGGTGACTTGAGACTTGATCTGTAGATAGATTTGCATGTTGATTTATGCACTCTGCAGAATTTAATTAACTGTACGAATTTGGAGGACGCACTCAGTTACTAATTCTATCTTTCATTGCCTAAATTATTTGTAGTTAGGCACTTCAGATCTTGCCAGGAGAGTTCAAAACTCTTGTACTTCTGCTTTTAGGTATATCTAGAAAATTAGTAAGGCTTGTACATATGCGTTTGTATGTGTTTATGTAAGAGTATATTCAACTGTTTAAAAATATAACTGGAATAGAAGCTGTTCTTTAAGACCATCTTCTCTTTCCAATCTTTGAATATCCAAAACAAGAAATCTGCTGCATGTTACTTTCCTTCTACTCTTTTCACTTTGGCATGGAATCTGTTTCATGCTTTCTGGGGACAGTCAGTAGAGACTGGTGCTTTTTCTGTATTTTCTATAAGCTATTAGGTCCCTGAGATCCAGTGGCAACTGCTTTGTGGGGATTTTGGTACATATTAAATTGTTAAAAGGTTATTAAGGCTGCAAAATCAATAGCAGAGGCAGAATTAAGATGTACGATCTGACCATGTTTTTCTGAGGAGCACTTCCTCATTTGATGCAGAAGTTAAGAGGCTCCAGGAATAAAATTTTCGGTATCTTTTCCTCAATGTTTCTTCAGGTGGTACTTTTCCCCACCCCGTTTACGTCCACTCCTGTACCTAAGCTTCCTATCTCAAAGTCCCCATTCTTGTTTTGTCCTGCCCTCTTCCTACTGTGCTGTTAGCTGGCTGCTGGGTCTTCAGAAGCAGTTTTGCTGAGAGATATATTTATGCTGCTTGACTGACTTACAGCTCAACATCTACATGCTTTCTGATCTGGAATTTTATGTGTTCCAGTCATTTGCCCAGGCAACCAGAGAACATGTAGCTTCTGATCGATGAGCTGGCCACCCATCAGCACATCTGAATGGGTTAACCAGAAAGCAGACGGACACTTGCAGTCTTTTAAACTACTTTGCAAACCATGTGCTGTGCACATTTACCTTAGGATTTTCTGTTCCCTGCTATGGAAATGAAATCTTTTATTTTTTATTATACAATTCACAGGTCACCTGCTAACTTCTGACTTGGCACCCGGATGTCTAAGCAGTACAAGAAGTTTAGCACATGAGCTGTGTTTTGCTTGAAGTATTTCTCTTGTCTCTCCCTCATACCTTTCTGTATTGGGGGATTTTTTCCTCCACGAACTATTCTGTCAAGTGCTAGACCAATGTATGACTTAATTTGTAGTTTCTGAAACTGCCTGTACTGCACAAGAGCTTTTCCAATATTTAAAACAGGAAAAACTTCGATGTAATTCAAAAATTTAAATGACATATCATCTTGAACAGACTACACAGGAAAAAAGTAAAGTATATATGACTTTTTTGGTACTTTGTAGAAATGGTGGAATGGGATCTTGCTAAGAGTCTATCGCAAAGTTATATTTGATTAGTAGTTCCCAAAGTTTCATCCGTTTTCTTGCCTTTTTGTTAAATGCAGCAGTGGGGAACAAGTGGTTGTGACCAGAAAAGTGGGGAAAGAATGACTTAAGCCTGTGCTACCATCAAAACCTCTTCTTAAGAAAAACATCTACAGGCAGGCACTCTGCTGAGGTATCATGACAACTGCAAACACATTCCCTATAAAGCATATTTAAGGAAGGACAGAAGGAGTGGGTTCTCAGTTTGGGCCTTTGCAAATTATACGAACACATTGGTAGCAAGCAGCTTTGCTCACCCAGACTTACAGCTGCTGATCTAATGACTAAATTCTATTATCACAGGTAACACTGTATTAAATAAAATACTACATTCTTATGATTTTCTGTCTTTTTCACTTGCATCTTTAACTTGGGCAGAACAGAAAGCAGCTGTCAGAAGATATGAGCTCCTGGGGTCCCTCCTAGAGGAGACCTAGTATTTTGTGTCTACTGGCACTTGGGTCGGTTTAGTGTACTTGTCATGGAACTCACTAGTAGGGTTGGGAAGACAGAATTGCTCACTACGTTTTATTTGAAATTTTGGTGAATGCTAGGATTTCTCGGAATACTTAGCATTTTATAGCACTTTTTATACTCAGTAAGCTCCTCTTGATCTCAGTTGCAGAGAAGATTGTACAAGAGAAAAGACCATTATGTGATCTTAAGTGTCTTCTACAGAAATGATTTAAAATAATTGAAAACTGTACATAAGTCATCATGATATTCTAACTTCTACAGTTTAAAAACAAACAAACAAGTCAAAACCCAACCACAAAATCTCCTGTTTTGCACTGCTCTCATACTGTTAATGAGCATTAAATGTTTATCATTGAATATATTTTGTATACCAGTAAATAATAACCATTTGTGCCTTCCTAATTAAAACTTAGAATTTAGCTCACAAGTTTAGACTAGGAGTATGGAAATTACAATGATTTGGTTTTGGGGGGGGTTAATCATCATTAGTACCAGAGGTTAGAAATAACTACATGTATGCATTTCATCCTTTCTTTACTGAATATTATCGTACATTCAGATACATTGCAATTTTGTAGACCTCTTGTGCTTTACGCACTCTTTTATAAATGGTCGGGATTTAAACATTGCTGTGAAGGAGGTGCCTTCTGGAGCAGGATGTGTTAATCCACCTTTGAAATGGAAGAAGTATGTAGCTCTTTTGGGTGAGTACGGCCTCCTGAGTACGCCAAGGCTGCGTACCAGTAAGGAAGCCACTGTCTCCACCGTTGAACATGACTGCTGTGGATAGGACTGCAAGAAAAATGATTCCTGACAAAGCTACAGAGCCCGTATAAAACCCATTCTTCTCAAACGTTGAGTAAAATCCTAGACCACCAGAGTCTCTCTTCCTCTGTGGATCCTTCAGCCCTGCAGGTTCTCCGTCACCATCAAAACTTTCTTTTCAGGGTCACCCTGTTGCAGATGTAATTTCAGTAACACTGTGGCCATGACAGGAAGTGTCAGAGCAGGGTGATAAATTAATTAAATGTTAAATCTGACATTTATGCTACTTTAGTACAAAGCTGTAGTAAGCTTTTTCTGTGAAGACTAGGAAAAAAAAGTGTGTAATTTCTTAACAGTATTTTACTCCTAAAAAAACAGTTACTATAGCAAAACCCTGATGTGATGGGTTATTTACTTACCCTAAAGTAAATAACGGCATTTTTCAGTAACTTTAGATTAAAATGTCATCAAGAACTTTTCTTTATGCACTAAAGAGTTTTAGCATCCCATGATGCATTCCCCATTAAAAAAAAAAAAAAGGATTCAACCTTCTACCCAAATACTCCTGAACAAAAATACATGTTAATCTTCGATGTGTTTTGTAGCGCTCTGTGCCTGCTTCCTTAAGCCTTTGATATGTGGTTCAGCCATTCCAGAGAAAATGTCTGTGCTTTGTTCAGCATTTTTTATAAAGGAAACTCGTGTCCAAAACCTGGGACTCCTTTAGTGATGATAAAAGAGAACTGGATCCTCTACTTCATGCTAATTTTTGCCTTCTTCCTTGATTATTTAGGCAGGAAACTCTGTCCATAGGTCAAACATAAAATGTCTTTTGTGTTGCATGGATAAAAGGGTATTACACAGTTCACTGTATAAATTACTTGGATTCCTTTGGATATACACATCAGATTTATTATGGCTAATGTTGATGTAGCAAGCGAGATTGTTTGGGGGGGAAAAAAAAACAAAAAACAAACAAAACCAACACAACAATGAGTAACATGTTACTATTTTATTTAAATATTTACCATTTCATATCGAAGTCTGGTTATAGGTAGTTAAAATTAGTTTATTGTTACTTATGTTCTACTAAAATCTTCCATATTCTTTCACATTTTGAGAGCCTCTTCAGTGAAATTATCAGCTTTACGTTTGTGGTGTTCTGGTGTGGATTTTGTAAACAGGCCATACAGACTTTTCTTAAATGTTTTATCTAGCAGAAGGGTTATAATTGGATCTAAACTACTCTTAGCAGCAGCAAGACAAGTAAGGAAATTTTTTATTTCCACTAGATAGTTTAACCTTCGGCAGTCATTATTTGTAAGCAGTACATAAAAAATTGGCCTAAAAATATGATATGGAAGAAAGCAAACAGTTAATATCATCTGGATGACAAGAATGTTTCTTTTCACTGTACTGTAGATTAGATGTTTTTCTCCAATACAGGTATTTTTTTGTATTTTACTCAGATGTCTGGTAAGATAATAGTATGACAACAAAACTGTCATAAAAGATACAAAAAAACAGGCAGTGGCAAGAGAAGCTGCAATCATTGTGGTAAATTCACCAGCTTCTACTCTGATACTGTAGCATCTGTGAAATTCTTCCATAGCCCTTGCCTGGACATTGTATGTTATAGCTGTTACTGTTATGCAGAGCACAGTAAGCCATATAGTGATGCATAAATATTTAGCAAATTTTGGCTGACAAAACTTTTTGAGTACACATCTGTAAAAGTTGTCATTAACTGCTTGAGAGTATTGTGCGTCGCTATTTTTCTTCAGTGTTGCGTACTGACTTAGAGCAGTTGAACATAAAATTAGAATTGTAACATACATACTGACGTGCATAATGAGAGTCCCAAGATGATTTGCTATTCTACATGCTGCGGAGTCGTAAGTCCATTGGTACCCTCTTGCAAAATAGGCAGCTAGAAGAGGCATTGTGCTGCATACGAGTAAATTTGCAGTGAGGAAATTTCCCAGGTAAATGTGTTGGGTCCTTTTTGTGAGTGCTTGCCTCAAAAATATCCAGGCAGTGAGGATATTTCCAAAACTTCCAGCAGGAAACAGGAAAGAGTAGATGACTGGTAGAGCTACAGTAGTAGCTAACGATGGCTGAAGAAGACATGTTGAATTGCTCATTTATGCTGGTATTTCTTGAATGAATGGTCAGAGCTGAAACACAATTAAAAGAATTATTCTCCTGTAAAGCATATTGGACATTTCTTTTGTTCTTTGCTCTTAACTGGTCCTTTTTCTCCCCTGCTTCTCAGAGTTACTAACTGCTCTTTGTCCTCTGGGGTTATCATCTTGAGTTTGCATGAGGTTACTGTTTGGGTGTTCTCTTCCACTGAGATTTTGTGAAGAAAAGTTGGCTGGTGTTAAACCCCAAATGTTTTACGTGCATAGAGTCTGATAAAATAAATTAGGGAACAGAAGATTCAGGCTAGGGTTTGACGATAACTTGTGTGGTCTTGGTTTATTTCTCAGTCTTCTGGAACATCTGTAACCTACTTTAGAAACCACTTCTAGATTATTTTCAGTTAATTAGGTAAAATAAGTGCAAAGTGTAACTTTTATTGCAGAAATGCAGAGGATTATCCTGTACCTCCATTTAAGTACAAATTAAACCGTGCATGATGCAGGAATCTGGCTAGACGCATTTATATTGTGCTGATGTCTGTATCTAATGTAACTTTGTTCAGAGCTCTAGTATTAGATGTACATTTTGCATAAACAATTCAGTCTGTGTTTTTAAACATACGAAATGGTTGTTGAAAACTGCAATATAGTTATTTTTCCCAAGTTCAGTTTTCAATCTTTTCTCAATTTCCAGACTGAAAATAAGAAATCAAAGCTCTATACAATGACTGCATATAAAAACTGGCATTTCAGCTTACTAACCTGTAGTGAAGAGAGATTTTATTGTTGTATGGTGTATCCTGGTTAGCTTTTGTTCTATATAAAAGCATACAGAAAACATTAATGGATTTCAGACTTACAGACTGATAATAATTTTTTTTGAAACAGCTGTAAACTATTGAACTCGGATACCAAAGAGGATTCTGTGTAGCTCTGATAAAAAGCCCAGACACCAGGCTGGTTAGATACGTATTTAAAAATTACGCTGTAGGCCATGTTTGACAACTTGGAAGTTAACTTTTACAGCTGTTGCATGTCAGTGTACACTAAGTCCCATTCGGATTGTTGAACCAAAATGTATTAAATTCTTTTATTACAAGGAGTTAAATTCGCAAAGCAATTGTTGAATTCAGTCATTTAGAAGGCTAATGAGCATTTTTGTGTCAATGTCCAAATTTTGTCAGGTGAAACAAAGAAGTAGTAGTTTTAAGCTTACCTATGCAAGCTGCAGGCACTTCCTTTGCAGAGAGGAAATTTTTCTGTCTATCGATGTCCTTATCTCCACTGCTGCAATGAAAAGGATGATACTTGAATCTGGAAAGTACAGGTAAAAACGATCTCTCCCTGACATAAGTAGGTTTTCAGAATGTACACTTTTCTTTTACAGTGTCAAAAAGCAGCTAGGCTTTTCAAGTTCAGACGAGACAATGTTGTCTTTGCAAAAAAGACTTTGAAATTAGATCAGGATGCAGCTCCATTAGAGAAAAGAAAAGAATGAGATAGTGTGGAAGAGTGATTGTAACAGTTCTTTTTTTTTGCACAGAAACACCTTACAGTCCTTTATATAGTGCTTTCCTCTTTTTGGGGGTGGAGGGATTGTTACTGTCATTCTCTTTAGAACTGCCCACTTTCGGGGGCGGGGGGAGGTTGCTATTTGTGCATGAAAACTTGTATTTTCAGTGACGTTTCACTGTTCTTCAGCTCCAAGAGCTATCACGAAGCTGTCTGCCTATTCCTGAAACCCACGTGCAGTAACGCTGTCCCCATAGGAGGGACCAAATGACACATCTCCTATGTCTGGTCAGGTGAGGGATTGCCTGGAAGCAATTTACAGCTGATGCATTCTAGGCATCAGTTGGGGAAAACTGACTCTGTGTCCAAGAAATACAGTATTTTATAGAAATCGTCCAGAAGTGTGCACAGGACAATTTCCTTCCTCCATAGGAAAGGTTTGATCACAGATCAGTCAAACTCTGTTTAGCCCTGCAGAGCTTGAGACCTTTGAATTTCCTTGTATCGAATACATCTGGGGTTGTCAGATACAGCTTTTCAGCAGCTATAAGTTTCTTTATGAGAACAGAGGAGGTACCATATAAAGATTTCTGCAATTTTGGTAAGGTTCTTGATGTGTTAGTTTTGCTTTATTTTTAAACATACACTGTGAGAATCCATCTCAGTGATCTACTATCAATTTTATTGTTTCATCTCATTATTAATTTTCTATTTTTTAAACTAAAATGATGGACATGTATGCTGGCCTCCTTATTTATAATCTCATTTAAGGTTAAATTTAAGTGAGGGAAACTTGCTGTGGAGTATTATTAATTAGTTCATAATGCTGTAATTAGTTTGGATGTAACTTTTAATTCTTGTTCCTGTTAGATTTAGTTGAGGTTTTTTTTCCACTTTTGAATGTATAGTTATGTTAAAATTTGTTCTAACAGAAAGGGTCTTGTATTAATTAAATATTTAATAGTCTCTTAGGTAGTCTTGGAAGTCCTTGTTACTGTGGTGTTCCATCAAGGCTTAGACAAAAGAATGCATATCCTGAAAATTTGCCAAAAAATTGTGTGAGCGATTCCAGTTAGCAGGATTTTTTTAATTATTATTATTCACTTGGTTATTAACTGTACCTTGTAGTATTTATAATTCAGTGACCATAACTCTTGGTGTAGGAAGACATAATGCTGCTTTTTTTTTTCTGAGTTATTGCATGATAATAGATTATTATAGTGAATTACATTTCATAGACCTCATTTTGGAACTGATTGGTGAGATGAGTAACAAAGGAATGGGATATTATAGGTTTAAAAGAAAAAAAAAAACCAAAACCACAACCAACCCCAGAAATACAATTACAGTTGGTTCTAAGCTGTAGTACGTACCTTCATTATTCTTTTAGTGCACTATTTCCATTCACCTAACTTACAAATGGTATATTTTATCTAAAATAAATTCAAATGGTACAAGTGCGTCTTTTATGCAATTCATTCTTAAGTTCTTCATGGTGACCTTTCTGTGCATTCTTCACCTCCGTTATTTATATTTTCTGTACTCTTAAACCATGATCACTTTCTAATTTATTTATATTACTAGATTTTTATAAGCCAGTAGGTTTCATATGTTGCATTTTGCCGTTGTACGCACACAACTTATTTTGTGGCCCAAAAGCACCAAACCAGGGAAATTCCCAGTGGTGACAGATATTTCAATTAGCCATTTATAACCCATACCTAGTGTATGATGCGATGTAATCATATATGACACAGTGACACACTTGCAGGCTGCCTGGCCACTTCCTCTCCCCTCCATCTACTTGAGATGATAGAAGACAGCCCAGCCGACCTCCTATCTCCTTGCACCTCTCGCAAACCGAATGCAGAACTGGACTGTTCCTGCCGTACAACAGTGTGTAACGGCTTGGCAGCAGTTGCTCCTTGTAGGATGGCAGCAGCTGAGTTGCCTCTGGCTCCTGTGGCAGTCCTGGCGCTCTCTGTGCTCTGGAGACCCAAGAGATGCACTCAGGCTCTGCATCTTGAAGGATGGAAGGCAACTGCTGAGGATGGGGCACAGAAACGTCTGTGGCCCTGAGTATGGCTGCTGTGGGTGCTGGGGATGAACCATACTGAATAAGTGTATAGGATGCACCAAACATGCAGCAGCCTTTAACTTGAGATTTAATTTCATGTACGTGCTGCTTGATCTACCGTATGGCATTTAATACCAAAATAAGTCTCTAAGATGCACTGGCTACTACACAAGTGCAATCCATATTTCTTTCCAAAAAGTTCATTTACCAAGTAGCTTGCCTAGAAGTTTGACCTTTGGTGCTTAGTTTTGTTGGGGATTTTTGTCTCCTTGAACCTTAAAATGTAAAGGTTTTTTTGACTGCATAAACTGTTAAGACAGATGCACTGCACAGTAACCATTTTCTGTTGGACATTCAAGGCCAGGTTGGATGGGGCTGTGAGCAACCTGGTCTGGTGGAAGGTGTCCCTGCCCATGGTGGGGGGTTGGAACGAGGTGAGCTTTAAGGTCCCTTCCAACCCAAACCGTTCTGTGATTCTATCATCAATCTCAGGAGAGTTATTGCACAGCACCAAGATTCCTCACTGCCTGCTCGTCAGCTTTCTGTGCAGGAGTGACCCAGTGTGTGCCCAGCTCTTCTCCTGACTTGATATAATGAGGATTTTAGCTATAGTCAGTATATGTGTTTAATATTGTAATAAGTGCTTATCAAAGCAAAATCATCTTAAACTCATGTTTAAATCTAGTCGAGTCGAGCACTGTGCTGGTTCAGTGAAGATAAAATATTTGACAGGTTTGAGCTGGATCTGTGTTTGCTGCTCACTAATGATTTATTTTTTTTCCTGCCAGTTTTAGAACTGCCTTTGTGTTTCAGCAAAATAGACCCAGAATGAAAGTTCTTGTGTTGTTTCATTAGTGACAAGTGTATGCTGTATAAGTCTGTGGCATCCTTAGGGATATAGAAATGGGGTTATATTGCAGTCATAGCTTCAATTCTTTGGCTGTCATAAAATATGCAAAGTAAAGCGTTTCACAGCCTCCAGGTAGTTGTTTTATGTAGACAAAACACAAGCCAAACAATGCCTTTTAGGAAGGAAAACTTATCTTGAACTTGACAGGACTAACAAAAATAATCTTCCAATATTTTTATACTTCAGGTCTTTAATACAAAATACTTTGTGTATTGTCTACCCCAATGACAATATTTGTGCAGCTCTCAGAGGTCTTTTTAACTGTATTTACTGTTAAAGCAGTGGCTGTGTATTGGTCATGATGATTTTTACTTTTAACTTCAGAAATCGTTTTTAACATGAAAACTGTTGATCATCAGTCGAATAGGAAGCTTTCTTTGTGTTTTTCTGCACCATATTATAATTTGTGATTTTTCAAGTTAAATATGTTTGTGTATAACAGCTTTTTGCCTTTTCCAGTCTCTTAAGTTTCTGTGAAAATGCAAAAGTAATAAAGCAAAA